AGGGCAGCCCTGCCGGAGTCCAACATGCACTGGAAACAAGTCTGACTTACTGCCGGCAATGCAAACCAAGCTCCTGCTCCGGTCGTACAGGGACCAGACGGCCCTTAGCAAAGGGCCCCGGACCCCGTACTCCCGGAGCACCCCCCACAGGCCGCTGTGAGGGACACGGTCGAATGCCTTCTCCAGATCCACGAAACACATGTGAACTGGTTGGGCAAACTCCCATGAACCCTCAACAACCATTTATTAAAAATTCAGCTTTTTGCTTCTGTAAAAGATTATATTACTAGGAGCATTTGAAAAGACTGATTTATCATGTCTCATCATGTCTAAAGTCTGGGTTCATGATTTTTCTAAAGTTATACAAACTACATAAAGAAAAAACAAGCAAACAAAATAATACCAAAGTAAGCAAATAAAAAAAAATACAGATGATAAAGTTAAAGTACAACTGATTCAGAAAATATCACTCGAGTTACTTACGCTGTCTAAGCCAAAGCTCTGCAGGTCGTGTACTGCAACACAATGAAACAGCACATTATTCAACTTGTTAATTACAAATCCTCCAAACACATTTAGTAAATAAAAATGAATGAACATATGTTAAGCTACAGTTCTGTCAGAAATGTGTTATTGATGAGGTCGTGACTGATTACTGCCTTTATGACACTGATTCAGTCTCAGTTTATAAATGACAGGCAGCAAATAAAGCTGATGCGCACAGACACAAGTTCATCGAGTTAGCAGCCTCATGTCACACCTCTGCTCTACAGGGCAGTTCCAAACTAAAGCTGATTCTGTCACATTCATCACTGCATAAGGCCTTGAATAGATCATGTTCAGGATAAGGTCACCAAAGGAAAAACAAGCAATCTATAACAGGGGATTTGTCTGCTGAACTACAGGTCTGGTGTGAATTCACTAGCTTTATTTTACATCTGCTCTATGAATGACACCATTGGACGTGTCCCAGCACGTCCACAGATGGAGCACAGTGAGTGGGTATGCACAACAGATTGGTGGAAACTAACACGCTCATCGTCCAATCTCCGTGTCTGCTTTTCTGTGCCTACATTTGTAAATTTCTCTTTTGCTTGTGCAAAGCTGTTCCTGAATCACAGGCTGATACAGTAATTCTTTTTTCAAATCCTCACATTTGAGAATCTGGAACTAGAATGTTTTGTATTTTTGCATAAAGATTAAATTATTACTATTACTTATCAGGATAATGGTCAAAAAAAGTCTGTCAGGTCTACTAATGTTTACTACTGTAACAGATACTATGGTAATATTATAATAGGCATAAATGTTTCCTCCTGACTGAAATAGTATATTGAAAACAATCCAAACTCAAGGTCCACTTACTGGCTTTTAACACCTGGTATTCATCTGCAGATGGAGCCTTCTCAGATGGAAGCTCAGTAATTTTAATTAAGGAAACCTTAAAAAAGAATGTGGAACCTGCTTGTTTTGTCAAATCTGAATCATGGTTTACTGATATTAGTGATATCCAGCAGTATTTAAGAACTGAATGCAGGTACCAGAAATGGAAACTGAAAAACCCTAAAAAGGCTGGACAGTTGAACGGCGACACCATCCCATTATTTACCTTACAGTAAAACAATGTACTCAAATTCTACATCTGCTTCTACTGGCAAAAAGGCCAACTTAAAGATACTCTGATTATATACATACAAAGTATAATTGTACTGTACATTTGCAATGCTTTAACACAGTAAACAGGCTCGTGTACTGGAATGAGGCTGTTCAGCAGTGACGTTTTCCAGAAGGTGTCTAAAAAAAAAAAAAAAAGATTGACTTACTTTCCACAGCATGCACTGCAGAAAGAAGAGAGAAGAGTCACTATAACAATGCAGGTAGATGACACACCACTAAAAATGTATGATTTATGGTGTTTTTCCATCAGCACGGGTCAGCCTGCTCTAATTGTGCAGAGCCAGGCCGGCACAGGTTGGCCCCAATTTCAGTCTGTTCCTAGCAGCAGGGGGGTAACACGTGCTGACTTGGGCTCAACTGGCCCAGTGAGTAGTGATGTGCGGATGGATCCTGACATACCAATACTTCTGATCCAGCTAAAAGGAACTACTTCTCCTCCCACCTTTTATAATTGTATGTGAACTGCTGCTCTGTAAATGTCAGGAGTCTCTTGGCAACAGAATGGATGTCATATGCAGTTGCTGGGTGCAGGGAAGTAATTAGCAACCAAGATGGCATGCTAAAGGGTCCCTGTATGTACCGTATGCATGTAGTCCCATCACCAAGTTATATCTGGGCTGCAGGAAAAAAATCCCTCCACAGTGTGTGAGCAGGGCGGTAGCCTTTGTTGCTAATAATGGTATCGGCGACAACAGCCTGGACTTTACTTGGTACTGGATCAGAAAGAAAATAAGCGGTATTGCACATCATTAATAATGAGCCAGCCCTGTTTCTGCCCGG